TTGCTGTTTTGTGCTCTAAGATTAAATTTCTCAGAAGCCTTGGATGCTACTGTACTATTTCATTTTCGATTGAAATTTCATGTAATTATTTACTTATACAAAATCTATACTCTCATATTTTAGATAGCATATGTCTTACTTAACACATTTTTAACTATTTTACATGATGCATAAAAAACTTACACTTTTACGCTTCATTTCTATGCTTTACGATTTTACCCATTTTCCGCTTCTATATAGAATCGCGCTTTTGACTGCATTGGTTCATATGATGTGATCTTCTTGCATGAGCAACTATGATTGGTGAATTGTCAAAATAGGTTATTTGTTAGTTGATGAATAATGTGAGAACTCTTCCTTTGCACAGTCTTAATACAGTTGAATGTCGTTTGTGGTGATTGCCAAAATTACCTTGTTTTTGTCCATAGGTTGGTGTCAAATAACAATTGTGATTCATTTGTTTCGTGCCTTATGACATGCCTCAAAGTTTTTAAAAAAGAAGTTGTAAGCTTACCTTGTTTTGTACTTGGTTTGCTTGCAGACAAGCAAACGTTCAAGTGTGGGGGCGTGATTCGGGTTCAATTACGCATATTTTACCCCTCACTTCTCGATTGTTTGAATTGGTAAATCATCGCCCCTCGACCTATTTTACGCTAAGTTGTGCTTCTTTTGTCATATTTCTGTCCTAGCACGTGTGGGGAGGTCGAGGACGAGTTTTGGAACGATTGAAGGTCGAATAGTGCCAAAAAGTGAAGAAACGACCATGACAATTACATGACGGGCGTGAAGAGCGAGGAGTCCAGAGGGTTTTCAGCGTCTCGCGGTCCAATGCATTGTCATTGTCACCTGGCCATGACAATTCACCACAAACCGTGATGTTAGACAAAAACAACATTAATCACTTGCATTTTTGGAAGAGATCACGGTCGAGCACTAATGTCACGGCCATGGCATTAGACCGTGAAAATCGACTGTCAAGTTGTATAAAAGACAGCAGCGAGGAGAGAGAAAGGGATCTGGTTTTTTGAGGAGAAATTGATTCTCTCTCTAGGGTTTCGACCCAAAACACCAAATGGGAGATCTAGTGAAAGAGAGACAGAGAGAGAGTTCTTGAGTGATCTTGGAGTTTAATTGAAGGAATTGATCAAACTTGAAAGCAAGGAATCAAGCCTAGAAGAAGAATTTCTTGTTCTCCAATTTGTAATCTCTCTCTTCTCACTCTATAAACTTGCTCGCTTTCTCTTAGGTTGAAGAACCCTAGGTCTAGATTTTTGGTTGTTATTGATGTATGTGACAAATTACGAGCACTTCTACTATGCTATAAAGCATTGGTGCTTTAATGTACTACTTGAAGTCGTACCATAGTGTTAAATGTATAAGTTCAGGTTGTAGCATGAAGGAATTTGTACCCTTATGTTATTGTACAATTTTACAACTTAAAGTTGTACCGTCGCATAAAGGTACAAGTTCAAGTTGTACCATAAAAGAATTTGTACAAAACAGTATAGATACAATTTGAAGTTGTACCATAACGTCGAAAGTACAATTTCGAGTTGTACCATAAATGCAAAAACTTATAGCACCAATACTATATAGCATTGTAAAATTGCTCGACAAATTACATGTTTGATTGAGTTTATTATCTAATTGATGGATTTTTTAATGAATGACATGAGTTTGGATTCCATTTTCAAGTATTGAGCTTGTTAGCTATGATGGAGGTAATCCCCTTAGAGCCCACTATTGGTGTCTTCGGGTCACTTTTAAAATGTTTGAGCAATATCATGATTTCAAATCTACTTTTGGTTTCTTGGTTAGCTCTAAGAAGTTGTATTCTTTGAATGACACATCTCTAAAATTTTAATGCATGCATATTGAAAATAACTTAAGAATGATGAGCAATCTAATATTGATGGCAATGTTTTATCGAATGAGCCCAAGTTATTACAAGATCTTTTACCTAAAGAAATTTTACAACCAGTCGACATTTTGAACTTTTGAAACGCCTTGATTGTTTTCCAAATATCATTAGTATATAGAATCATGTTAAACTATCCATGTGACTATTGTTTTAAATGACGATGTGATAATTTTATTTATTGATTAATGTAATAATTTCATTTTATTAGATTTGTTGGAAAAAATTAGGCAAAATTTATTTTTGGAACAAGGCCTCTGGAATTTCAGGGATAGCCTTGATTGATTTTTGATATGATATCACAGCATTTTATATTTGATAGATCTTTTATTCAAATTCCGATGACCACCCCTTATTCAGCACATGGTATTTAGACCTATGCAAACTTGAAGCCTATATAGTAGACTTTCATATAGAGGTGGCAATTAGGATCCAAATCCATGAATCCAATCCAATCCATCCACCAAATTATCCACCTAATCCAATCCATTTAAATCCAATCCATTTGATCCAAATCCAATTGGATTGGTGGATTCATGGATCAATCCATGGATCCAAATGGCAAATTACGATTTGGTACCTATATTTTTCACATTTTACATTTTGGTACCTAAAATTATATTTTTATACGAAAAATATCATTGGAAAATTACATTTTGGTACCTAAAATTTTTCATCATGACATTTTAGTACCTAAACTTTTCAAATTTTACATTTTGGTCCATGCCTTGGATGTCATTTGGATTCATGGATCAATCCACCAATCCATTTGATCCAATCCATGAATCCACCAATCCATTGAATCCAATCCATTTGATCCATGGATCCATCAATCCAATCCACGAATCCACGAATCCGATCCAATTGCCACCTCTACTTTCATATGAGAGATTATATTAATGAGTATTATATAATTCATAATGGAACCTTTTAAAATAATATAGATTATTGGAATCAACTAATTATTATTATAACGATATTAGTATTAAGATATATTAGCGACGAGTCATTGTCATTCTTACTTTGTTAAGCCTTTAAACAAATGGTTTGCATAAGCTCAAGTGGGGAGGATTAGGGATATGCATCAGTATTCAGTAAATTAATGGGGTTTTAACTGAGTTTTTTGTTTCACTTGTGGTAATAACGATTTATTTACATAATAAAAATGACATTTATCCGAAATGAAAAATGAGATCATGTATCCACTATACAGAACGCATGAGTTGACTATTTATTTACTGTCGGATTAAAGTTGATTATTTATTTTGAGTGCGTGGATTTCATGTCCAATTCTTTATTTTTGGTCGAACTTTGTGCACTTTAATTGGTTTTGGCTTCGGAAACAAGAAAAGGAGCGCATCTCATTCTAAGTAGACTACTTTTATAACCTAGACTACTTACTTTGACTAACAAATCTACTTGAGTAAACAAGTTTTAAATAGATTTTAGGTGTAATCAGTGGTCTGGTCCGTTATTACCACACAAAAAAAAAGTAATCAGTGGTCTGAAGCATATAGGTCTGTTGTTACATAGTTTTTTTTTTCTAATCACATATGATAATGTGTTAACCTACCCAGTCGACGGCTAACTTTCAAGGATTGAGTCAATATAGATAAAGAGCACGAGATGCCTGAGTGGGACCCTCATCAACATGACCACCAGTCTCGCGACAAGATAGGTAGACAAATGCCATAAGAAGAAAGAGATTCAACCCCGGGTGGAACAAACTAAGCCTTCCCAGCTAGGCACCTCTATGCCGAAGTGACTTCTGATCAAAAAATTTCATTCATCGGGAAATCAAATGTGTAGTTGGCTCAGCCAATCCCTAGATAGACCTCCGTTTAGCTAACAAATTGAGTAGGCCCTGTAGATGCATCTGTTTATGGAGGAGCAGCCCCTGAAAGGGCCGATCGTGGACGTGAATATAGATGATCCACTATCTCCATGGTTGAAGTTTGTGCACTTGAATTGGTTTTGGCTTCGGAAACAAGAAAAGGGACGTACCTTTATATAGTCGTAGGGGTGAAATCCTTAGTAGGTGCTCGTTGCGAGAAGTGAGAGATCATGCATGAGATTCCTACTAAGGTCTGATATAGTGTTTTCGGAGGCATTTAATGAAAATTCTCGTGGAGGCCCTAAAAAGTTCAAGCAGGTGAATTCTCACGTTTGGTTTCTCTCCACCATTGCTCAAGCGGTGTGTGCGTGAAATGTTTTTGGGTTATAAAAAAAGCACATATCACATTTCAAGCAGACTACTTTTATAGCCTAGCCTCCTTCTTTTGACAAACAAAGGTACTAAGTAAACAAGTTTTAAATAGTTTATAGGTGTAGCCATTGTCGGCAGTTCAAACACGATGAGTATTCCCCATCTTAATTTAATCAATTGGATAATCGAGCGCAAAGTTACGGTCACCTGAAGTTCTAACATATCATATATGTATAGCATATCACGACAGACTGGACCAATCGGTGTCTAGGTCACTGTTGTCCAAAGCGATCCGCTTCCTAAATCGCTGAACACCGGAGCAAACCAAATATTTATAAGATAAACCTCGTAAACCCTTTACCTCTCGTTAAACTAATTCTAAATCAACATTTAAACACAATAAATAATATTTGTATTAAACAAAAATTAATACAGATATGTCCAAATAAACAAATAATCAACTGATTTAATTGAATAAACATAATGAATATAACGACGTCCGCCAACTAATGCAGGAATGCACAAAATAGGCAGATACAATACATGTTAGGATGCCCTGATTAGATCCAAATTGTGTTCACTAAACAGGTTGTTTAATTAGCTAAAAAATGAAAAATATATATATGTAAGGTACCATCCACTTGCTGTTGGAGCCCCAAAGACGTTGGCCTTTCAACTGACTCCCAAAAAGTCCACAACCTCCTCCTCCTCGCTTTCCATTGCTAAAAAGAAACCTCCTAATAAACCGTACCAATCACATGATACAAACACAAAATTTAAAATAAATCCCATTGCTTTGACTTCACTTCTACTCCACAGCTCCACCAGTAACCTTTAAAAATGTACCAACTCCCCTGCTGACACAGATGTACCAGACTGCCAGGCCGACCTCTCCAACTATAACAAAAACAGAACCTTCTTCCGCCATAATCATTGCCTCTGCTGGCCTTAATTCAGCTGACAGCTTAGCTCCAACAATCCTCCCATTGCTATAATCCACAACTTTTCCTCATCAATTCCATTTTCCCCTTTCTGGATTGAAAGCAAACCATGAGCTTAGCTGCCCCTTCTGCTTCACCTTCGGTGAAGCCTTCCAGAGGGAAACTGCCCTACTCCGTCATCTTTATAGTCCTCTGCAGCTTTGCCTTTGTTGCCCTTTTGTATGCGGACTCTTCTTGGGCCTTCTTCAAGGTCAAGTCCTGTTCTAGGAAAAACGGCGGTGCTAGAAAATCAAGTAAGTATACAGTAATGAGAAGACACGTACAGAGTGTGAATGTTCTTTTGATTTCCAACTGATGTGGATGGATCTATTCTGCTTTCCGGTCTTCAGAACATCGGAATTCGGATCACGATGAGGCGAGAAACTCTGTGATCGACGATCGGTTCGAGTTCGACCCTGAAGAATGCAGCGTTAACACGGGGAAATGGGTGTTTAACAAGACAATCAAGCCTCTCTACACTGATAGAAGCTGCCCGTACCTTGACAGGCAAGTTTCCTGCGTGAAGAACGGTCGCCCGGATTCTGATTATCGACACTGGGAGTGGCAGCCCGAAGATTGTTCCCTGCCAAGGTCACAATTTTTTTTTTTGTCTCGGCCAACTTTTTTTTTTTTTTCATCTGAGATGGTGATGCATTACCTAGTTTGATACTTGTGATGCAAGCAATAAAACAGGGGAACTGAGTAGTTAGGAAATAGTAACTGATGTTGCAGTGGGGATGTCTTTCTGGTTGGCAGATTTGATGCAGAGGTTGCGCTGAAGAAACTGAGAGGTAAAAGGCTGATGTTCGTGGGTGACTCTTTGCAGAGAGGGCAATGGCAATCATTCGTGTGTTTGGTTGAATGGATCATTCCTCAAGATAAGAAGTCGCTGAAAAGAGGAGACTTTCATACAGTCTTCACTGCCAAGGTAAAAACATGATCAATTAGGAGACAATTAGGTTTTCGCGGTTAAATCATGTATTGTTAATAAGACTGTTATGAGTTTTGTTATTAATATTAACTTGTTACTCTACCTCTATTTTTATTTGAATCCATTAGTCTCAGATCACCAAATTTAAAATGATTATTTCCTCTAAAATTCGTAATTTAGTTTTTTTCTTCTTATTTCAGGAATATGATGCGACGATTGAATTCTATTGGGCTCCGTTTCTGGTAGAGTCGAACACAGACAGACCAATCATAGGGGATCCAAAGAAGAGGATAATAAAAGTGGATTCAGTGGCTAAACATGCCAAGAACTGGATAGGCGTTGACATTCTCGTCTTCAATAGCTATGTTTGGTGGATGAGTGGTCTCACTCTCAAAACCCTGTAAGTCCAACTGTGACTTCTCAGTTTCGCAACATAATACGGTGACATTCCACTGACCATTTTGCTTGGTTGCTTTGCAGTTGGGGTTCATTTGCAAATGGGGCAGAAGGGTATGAAGTGTTGGACACCCCAGTTGCTTACAAAGTAGGATTGAGGACTTGGGCCAATTGGGTTGATTCGAACGTTAATCCCAACAACACTCGAGTCTTCTTCACTACCATGTCCCCTACCCACACAAGGTCAGTCCAGTCCCAACAAACACTTGACGTTTCTTGCTTCTCGTTCAAAACCCTCCAAAACAAATAAGGCATAAGATATATCAATCAATCCTTTGTTTTATGTGCATAGGAGTGCAGATTGGGGCAAGTCGAATGGGACGAAATGCTTCAACGAGACGAGGCCTGTGATGAAGAGGCATTTCTGGAGCACTGGCTCTAATAAGCAGATGATGAGCATGGTTAATGCTGTGACGGGAAGGATGCAAGTTCCAATAACTTTTCTCAACATAACACAGCTCTCGGACTACAGAATTGATGCTCACAGCTCGATTTATACGGAGACCGGAGGGAGGTTGCTAACCGAAGAAGAGAGAGCCGACCCAGTGCATAATGCAGATTGCATTCACTGGTGTCTTCCTGGTGTACCTGATACCTGGAATCAAATATTTCTAGCACATTTGTAGATCACATGACCAAAAAAATGGTGTCGTGGAGTAAAAGGAAAACAAAAAAGAAATTGGGAAACCATCATTGTATTTCTGGTACAATTGCACACATAGATTCTTCTATTCATGAACACAATTTTTCTTTCCTATAAATGGCAACAATTATAGGAAGGGAAAATAATCACAAGCATTGGTACTCGCCAGAATTCCAGCTAATCAAGGCCAACTATTCAAATTAATGGACAAATTTGACCCAAAATTTATGTTGGTTGTTAAAACTGATGGACAATGATTTTTTCCGTTACTGACTTGACATCCCAGGCTGAAGTGGCATCCACGCCATTTTTTTATTAAAAATGAAAAAAAATTATATAACAAAGAAAATAAATAAGAATCTTGAGAACCATTCATTTCTTATCTTCTTCCTCTTCTCAGAAAACCGTTGTCGGCTACTCCGTCCAGCACGCTAACTCCCTCTACTCCGTTGACTCCACCATCGGACACGCCATCAGATCCAAATCCCACTTCCTCTAAGCCTCGACCAGCCCTCAATTTCTCCTCTAATTGCGTGTGGTTCTTCCTTCATCGACCACCCATCTTTTGATTCCATGTGCCACCCTCTAATGAAAGATCCCCAGTGCCGCCCTCTGATGGAATCGGTCGGGTTTAAGATTGTACTCAGAGGCGATCTTTACAGTAAATGAGCGGTGAAACGGAGCCGCGACGGTGGAGGAAAAGAGGTCGAATTTGACCCTCGATTTTCATCTCCTTCTCTGGCGGCGTCCTCGTCCGTGGAGGAGGTTGGGGGAAGGTGGACAATTATCCCAAGTCAGATCCATCCATCTGCATCAATCTCCACACGTTCGTCAGTAGATCGGTAGCCTACCGACCATTTGTCTCCCGCACACGTTTGTCTCGTCACCCTCGATGGCCTGTCCACTATTATGTTGTCAAGACGCCACACAATTGTTGAGAGCATCCCTGTAAATGGTCTCAAAAAGGAAAGAAGTATCGAGATGCAAAGCTGGCCGAATTACAAGAAAACTTACCTTATGTGTCGCTCGAGCAAGATGGTAGGTGTTCAAATCAAATACGAACAAAGATGGAAAGTGTACAATGACTAGTTGGTGATCAGTATAAAGACGAGCATAGAAGAAAGAAACTTAACCTTTTTGAGAGATCAAAACCAAGAAATAGCAAGGAAGAGTTCTACTGTTTTGATAAGAAAAGTTAGGTCGAGAATTCGGGTAGAATCTCGGAAGAGAAGGGTTGGGGAAACTCTTCAGGGTTCTAAGCAGGAGTGCTAGATTAGTTTGTGAGAATTAAAGTTTAGTCCAGGCCTGGGTTAGGCTCTATTTAAAAAAATCGTTTGTACTGAGCTTCATAGAGATCACAAGAGAGTGATTCTCCGACCGTGGATTAGTCGATATTGCACTTTACATGCCGGAAACCACGTAAAAATTATGTGTCGTATCGTATCTTTGTCATCTTGACTTACATACTCTGTTTATGAATTATTAACTAAGTTACAGGGGAAGGAGCTTACGCTCTTTTGGAGGAAGGCGAAGTTTAGATATCAAAACGACAGCGTCGTCTTTGACGGCTGGCAGCAGATTGGTTGAAGTGGGCATGAAAGTCTTTTGATACAAAAATCAGCCCACAACGTTTTCGTTAAAGCCCAAACAAAATCTAAACCACTTTTGTCTATTAAAAATGAAACATTTATACAAAAAATCCTCCATTTATCGAAAGATCATCCATTCTCATTCATCTGCTTTGTGTTGCTAGGGTTCTTTAGAAGGAGTTATCCAACTCACACATACTTCGGTGACAACAATTCAGCAAACATAATAGGAAAAGGGTCAAGTTGGAACTACTCCATTCATAAAAAAAATGTTATGCTGGTTGACGGGTTAAAGCACAATCTCATGTCTATTAGTCAAATATGTGGAAAAGACTGTAGAGTCATATTTGAGACACATTAAGAATAAACAGGTCTTGTTCACTAGTAAGCGAAATGGAAAGATTTACTCAATAGACTTAAATGATAAAGACAGCTTCAATGAAACTTGTCTGATGAGTCTGGATAGAAGTGAACTAGAGGAATGGCATAGGCGTCTTGGTCATGTAAATGTTAGCACTCTGTCAAAATTAGTCCGATTAGAACTGGTTAAGGGTCTACCTAAAATAAATGAGAAGAAGGACTTTTTTTATGATGTGTGTGCTAAAGGAAAACATACTAAGTCTAGTTTTAAGAAGCAAAACTGTCATTTCCACTACCAGACCTTTATAACTACTCCACCTGGATCAGTTTGGTCCAACAAATATAGTAAGCTATGGTGGTAAATCTTATGCTTTTGTGATAGTGGATGTTTTTCAATATTGACCTGGGTAATGTTCTTTGCTAAAAAGGATGAAGCTTTCTGAAGTTGAAAAACCTGGTGAAACGTGTCAAAAATGAGAAAGAGTCAAAAGTCTGTAGCATTCGTAGTGACCATGGTGGTGAATTTTGCTCAGATCCCTTTGAATTGTTTTGCAATGATCTTGGAATTTCTCATAATATTTCTTTTCCTAGAACTCCTCAACAAAACGGAATCGTTGAAAGAAAAAACAGAACTCTTATTAACATAGCTCGTACCATGCTTCATGATTATGGAATTCCAAAGTACTTATGGGCTGAAGCTATAAACATTGCGTGTCATATTCTGAATAGAGCCTTAATAAGATCAGGAATTAATAAGACCCCATATGAAATCTGGAAAGGGAGAAAACCCAATCTTTGTTATTTCCATCATTTTCGGTGTAAGTGCTTCGTGTTGAACACAAGGGAAAATCTTGGTAAATGTGACTCCAGATCAGATGAATATGTTTTTCTAGGGTATTCCATGAAAAGCAAGGCTTATCGAATTTTTAACAAAAGGACCCTCAAAGTGGAGGAGTCTGTTAACGTGATATTTGATGAGTTTGTTGCAGTGGTGGATCCAAGAGATAGTAGAGCACTGGGCCGCATTTCTTTACAAAATTAGATACCATAAAAAATCATAGTTTTTTTTACAATATTAATTGTAAATGCGATCTTTTAGGATATGCCTATGGTGACTTGCAAGTCACTGTAACTTGGAGAAAATGGTCGACCTCTTCCATTAAGTGGTCGACCACTTTCAAAGAAAATGGTTGACCTCTTAAACCACGTGGTCTACCATTTGAGTCAACCAGTCTACCATTTTCTGAAATAGGTCAACCTGATGACACACTTACCTTCAAGTGGTCGACCTCTTTCACCAAATGGTCTACCACTTCCACCAAGTGGTCCACCATTTGAGTCAATCGATCTACCGCTTCGAGAAATTGGTCGACCTGAAGACACACTTAACTTCAAGTGATCGACCTCTTCCACCAAGTGGTAGATCAATTTCCAAGAAAATGATCTACCACTTGAGGCAACCGGTCACAAGACAATAATAGGGTAACAAAAATGCAAACTTAGAATTTTAAAGAAAGATGGAAGACATAGAGCAAGTAAAATACAAGAAATAAATATGCATATATTTTCCAATTCTACGGGAGAACAATCACTCGAGAAACTTCTCATCTATGCTTGCAGCCTTTGTACTAATTTTCAATCTCTTATTAGCAAACATATCTATGATTATATAACTAGCAATGGTTCATCAATTTTACCGGTTATTGAAAGCGGTGGACCGCTTGGTGAAAGAGGTAGACCACTTGATGGAAGTGGTCGACCGTTTTCTTGTAAAGTGGTCGACCTTTTAGTGGAAGAGGTCGACCGTTTGTTGAACATAGAAAAATGGAAAATAGTACATCTGGTCGACCATTTCAGCAAAGAGGTGGACCATTTTGTCCAAATAGGTCGACCATATCAGTGAAGAGATCGACCATTTTGTCCAAGTTATGGTGGCTTGCAAGTCACCATAGCAAAGTCCGATCTTTTAATATAGCGAATTCATCAATAATGGAGTCTACATCCATACCAATAGCATAATACTCTCCTTCAAATAAATAGTTAACCAATCAGCGAGAAATTCATCACTCATTTTGTTGCGCAAATCATATTTCACCTATTCCATTGTTGAAAAGGTTTTCTCTGTAGTAGCTGTTGAAACGGGAATGTACAGACTACACAAATCAATCGACTAATCAATTTGTATTCTGTGTTCATCCCTATTACCACCAGTTGTTCTAGTAATTTTTCAAGGGAACAAACCTCATATTTCTTTTAGTCTTTTACGTTTTAGACTTTTAGAATTTTATGTTACATTGTTTTGATATGATTCAAAGTGGCCAACTCTACACGTTTTTATGACTTGCCAAAGAAGCTATCAAAGTTGGGAAGAAGAAGGGCAGAATTTGGCCAAGTCATTTTCCGAGTTCATGATACCTACTTTGGAGGCATGGTTCTCTCAATTGGCTTAGTGGGAATTCAAGGTTATGTGCTTGTTTTAAAGATAAAGTTGTCATCTTTCCAATGGTATGCTTTTTGGATCCAGAAGAAGTTATTAAGGTTGTTTTCCAAGGCCTCAAAGTTGCTACCTCAAAACTGCAAAACTGCCAGAAAATGGTTAAGTCTGGAAACGTGTTTGTCAAGCCTACTTTGGAGCTCAATTCGAGGAGCATGGAGTTGATTCAGTCCATAGGCTTCCACAACATGAAAATAGGTGTGTTTATTGCAAAAGGAAGGAATTGGATGAAATATCGAAGTTCTGGAAGGCCTCGAACAAAAGGCGTGAAGTTAGTACGAAAGCTGCTTTTAGACTATTTGCTGGTAGCTTACTTGTGCTTCAAGAAATGAAGTTTAAACCCGAATTTTGAGTCCTTTTTAGATTATATTTTTACCTTAATTTTTTCCTAGTTCTATTAGGTATGTATTAGGTTTAGTTTCCTTTAAATACCTTCCTAGTCTTCGTTGTAAAGCAGAGAAGATTATTGTTGACTGAAAATTGCTCATACGTGAGTGTTTTGAGTTCTTGAGTGTGTCTCGAGAATTTACCAATTGTATTTAGCTTCAAGTGGATTCCTTAGCTAATTACAAGACCCTTGTGAGGCTATTGTGAGTGGATTCCAGAATCGTTTAGCAAGTTCTCTTATCACCTCGATTGTGGCGAGAATTCTACCTTTCCGTCAAATATCATTCGATTATTTGGTTTGCGGCGTTACTTTGATCAAAAGCACCCCCTTGGTGCTTTATTATGTTTGTTTTTTTAGAAGAGAATCATTGGAGCTAG